CCACTTGAAACATTTGTTGTGTTGAGGTATTTCAATTACTTTTGTTTGATTTGTTCATTGGCAAATTTTGCCAAGAAACCTGATTAGCAATGGGGGGTTAATAATTTCGATTGAAACTCCCAAGTTATTTTGTATAGCTGACTTATTTGTTTTTCATAAATCAAAGTATAGCAGCAAAATGTCATTAATGATGCAAACTCTTAGCCCTCAGGACGTGCTGACTAATACAATAAACTCTTATTATATTCAAATTCACAGCACAAATGCTTTGCATAGATAAATGATATGAACATAGAACAACACAGCAGAAACGCAGCATTCAGAGGGAATCAGTGCACACCAGCAGGATGATGAAAAGAAAGCCTCCCACTGTGCTTATTGAAATGCATCACAATCATTTGACATGCAAGAAATCTCCAGGCGGATTGGCTGGCAGGGCTTCTGAGTTGCAACCTTTTGAGACCTTCAAAAAGGGAAATTTTTGTTCTCCAGATTTTTGGAAACCAGTTAAAAAAGTTTCTTATATATTTGGCCTATTTAATTTATGGCTTATTCTGATTCTCAGTTGTCATTTTAATGCATTTTGTCATAATTCATTTCTGCAGATTACTGTCAGACAGTTATAACATCCCTGGAGTTAGTGATACCTTATTTGCTCTTGTCACTGTTTGACATGTACAGTAGGAGGACATGCATACACAACATGTAGGAGGAATTTGGTCTAAAAAAGCGGTTTTGAGCTGTTATGATACTGAAATATTGTCCTATTTTAACCTCTGCTTAAGAGATTTTCTTTGGCTGATCATCTAAACTGTATTTCTGAAGCTTGACTCATTTAATTGAACTGCATCTTTTTAAACAGTTTAATTTTTTCTTTTTAAACAGTTTCTTTTACACAATCATGTGGTCCCTGACATCCTGACTTGGGCATTCCAAAATTGTTCAACTAAGCAATACGTAGAAAAATAATGCTGTTTATTGTGCCTATTTTACCATGTTTTATAAATTATTTTTTGTTAGTGTTTATTGTTTTTTATTTGAAAATACTGCAACTTTAAATGCATGTTGTGTGTTGTGCATGTTAAATGCTGTGTGTGCTGCAAGTTATTTCCTCAACTTTTAAGAGTCACTAAAATACATTTCTTTTTTAGCTTTATTTCACTCTTTAGGTCAAAATTTGTGCAAAAAAAAAAAAAAAAAAAAAAAAACCCTGCACTACAAGATTTTAACATCGGGCTTGATGTGAACAAGACCTGATGTGAACAAGCCATATGTCTGGATAATTTGCATACAATATTCAGCCTTTTGAAGAAATTCCATGTCCAACTTGATTCCAATCTGTAAGAGCCAGACATTTCAATAATGAGGTTTTACATGCAAGATCTATCATCCTCAACGTTACGAGTGATGTATTAATATGCACTGAAGGCAAGAATGGCTTTATTCATAAGGGAAACCAGGGAGTGTTGTAATGTCTGTGTTTTTTGGGCTATGTATCAGTATTGTAGTCAAGACCAACTCACTCGAGACCGAGACCATAGAGGGTCGAGTCCGAATCGAGACCGAGACCATAGAGGGTCGAGTCCGAGTCGAGACCGAGACCATAGAGGGTCGAGTCCGAGTCGAGACCGAGACCATAGAGGGTCGACTCCGAGTCGAGACCGAGACCATAGAGGGTGGAGTCCGAGTCGATACCGAGACCATAGAGGGTGGAGTCCGAGTCGATACCGAGACCATAGAGGGTCGAGTCCAAGTCGAGACCGAGACCATAGAGGGTCGACTCCGAGTCGAGACCGAGACCATAGAGGGTGGAGTCCGAGTCGAGACCGAGACCATAGAGGGTCGAGTCCGAGTCGAGACCGAGACCATAGAGGGTGGAGTCCGAGTCGAGACCGAGACCATAGAGGGTCGACTCCGAGTCGAGACCGAGACCATAGAGGGTGGAGTCCGAGTCGAGACCGAGACCATAGAGGGTCGAGTCCGAGTCGATACCGAGACCATAGAGGGTCGAGTCCGAATCAAGACCGAGACCATAGAGGGTCGAGTCCGAATCAAGACCGAGACCATAGAGGGTCGAGTCCGAGTCGAGACCGAGACCATAGAGGGTCGAGTCCGAGTCGAGACCGAGACTGTAGAGGTTCGAGTTCAAGACCATAGAGGGTCGAGTCTCAGTCGAGACCGAGACAATAGAGGGTCGAGTCCAAATCGAGACCCGAGACCATAGAGGGTCAAGTCTGAGTCGAGACCGAGACCATGGAGGGTCGAGTCCAAATTGAGACCGAGACCATAGTGGGTCGAGTCCGAGTTGAGGCCGAGACCATAAAGGGTCAAGTCCAAGTCGAGACTGAGAACATAGGGGGGCGAGTCCGAGTCAAAACCGAGACCATAGAGGGTCGAGTCCGAGTCGAGTCCGAGACTATAAAGGGGCAAGTCCGAGTGGAGACCGAGACCATAGAGGGTCGAGTCCGAGACTATAGAGGGTCGAGTCCGAGTCGAGGCCGAGACCATAGAGGGTCGAGTCCGGGTCGAGTCCGAGACCATAGAGGGTCGAGTCCGGGTCGAGTCCGAGTCGAGACTAGAGATGTTGGATAACCTAAGGTTGGGTCTCAAACCAGACTTAAAGATATCTTTAATATGTAAAATATTTAGTGGTAACAATAAAATTGGCACCATACTCAAACAGTAAACCAAATATACCATGTACTGTAATGCTAAAAGGCCACATAGTGGTGTAAATGTCATTTTATTATAATTCTAACTTACAATTATTACAATCAGTAAATGGTCTTTAACATAACATTACTGCACACAAATTCTGTGTGGCTCTTATGCAAACTGAATTATCGATGATAAGGCAAACATTTTTCGATACATAGTTGAGCTTGAGGCTCCACATCACATCTGACCTGTGTCCTGCTGCATTTGCGTGCTGCAAACGTTATGGCCTCAAGTCATGCGCAGTTGCGCACAAGAAAGTCAGCAATCATTGGACGTTTCAATCAAACAACCATTTAAAGAAATATTAACATACGGTAATAATCATGACATATTTTGAATGGGACTTGAGTGGAGTGGCAGATTGTTTTGTGTATTTCCTTTTTCTCCTTCCGTAATAATGAACCCTAATGTATTTCCCCCAAAATACTGCTACAAAGAAGTTTTCTTTTGGTCACTTACCAGCATTTCAATTTTTCAGATACTTAATACTGAACTCCTTCTGCTCCAGTCGGGTCACCATGACACAGCTCGTTATTTGTGCCTGTAAAACACAATGCATTCCCCCTCCCATGTTCTGATGCATCCAGACCTGTAGGTTGAGGGGTTGCAGTGTGTGTTTTTTTCCTTTATTTTGGTGCTGTTCTGCTGAGCAGACAGACCCTAAAGAGAAATCCCATTTCAAATTAAATTTAAATGACCCCCCAAGCTCATAAACAGTGGGTCGCCTGACAGCCTAATTTATAATTCAGCACTGAGCTAGGGGCTTCTGGTTTGATGTTAAAGAAAAGGCAACCAGTGAATGATGTCTTTGCATCAGGAGAACATAAAGACACAAAAGCTTGGGATAATTAAGATTTTCAAATATTTTTGAAAGTCGTCTCTTATCCAAGGCTGGATTTATTTGATCAAAAATACAGAAAAATAATAATATTGTGTAAGTATTATTCCAACTCTTACACAAAACAATATGATGTAAAATGTAATGTATTCCTGCATGTGATCGAAGCTGAATTTTCAGCTTCATAACTTCAGTGCCAATGATCCTTCAGTAATCGTTCTAATATGCTGATTTGCTGCTGAGGAAACATTTCTGATTATTATCAATAGCTGCTTAATATTTTTGTATAAATTGTTATCTACTACCTTTCAAATATTTGGGTAATTTATAATATAACACACACACACACACTATATATATAGAGAGAGTGTATATGATCGAAGATAGATGTGTTTATAAAGTTTTAGCAATTAAAGCTAAAGTCAGCACAAATACAGATTATTGAAGGAGGTGGAAAGAGACTGTGTCTGTGAGAATGGCAATTATATGTTTGCCCGCCAAAATTATGGAAAACAAAGCTCTGGATAACTTCCCAATTTCATTCAGAACCCCTGCGAGGAACCCCTTATCATGCAGCCAAAACACGCTCGCCACCGACAACCAAATTAGCATCAAGGGCAAATGCATTGCAACTGTTTATGAAGGTAAAGTCATCTCTAGTGAGTTTAGTCTTGTCCTTAAGACAAAGCTGGACACCTTGATGGTATGGGACGCAGTTAACATATGCCGATGGACTCTTTGGTGATGGACTCACATGGGGTTCTCGGAAATGGAAGCCGCCAGTAGGCTAGTGGTGAACTGGAGATGACAGCAAATATAATTTTTGTATTCCCGTTTGCTCCAATAGCAAAATAGAAAAGAGGAGAAAGTATAGAGAGGTTGATTATGTTGGTCAGAAGAGAGAAAGATGTCAAATTTGCTGACGTGAGCTCCACTGATAGTTATCGCTCGCAAAATTCCCTGCTAATTCGCATGGTTAAATCTTTTGCTGGTCACATTCGCTTGTGTCACTGGAAGTCGTCAGCTCTCCATTGAAAATGAATGCGATAATGTCGCTTTGTCACAGAGTCTCACTGGCGGTGTAACGGGGTTACAGCCATTGTATTAACACCGTCGCAGCAGTGTTCATTCGGTTTTTACTGCCAAAATAGCTAAGTGTGGCATTATAAAAGTATAATGTATATATAAAAGCTTTACTAGATTTGCAATGTTGATTACTGTGGAAAGGCCTCATCACATTACGTGAAAAGTGTCAAAAAACCCGGTCAAAAGTCAAAAATTTGACAATTTTCATGGTTTTTGAACGATGTAACAATTTAAGCAGTTGCATAAATGCGTTTAAAAAACAAAATGGGAGAAAAAAAGAGGAAAGAATAAATAGAAAACTTAGATTATGCCCCAATTTCCTTTCATATCCCTTCTGTAACTTCTGGCTTCCACCCAGCAGAAACCCACGGCTCCACTAAAACAAGCATTCTGGCCACACATGCTGATGGAAAGCACCAGTACAGACATGGGCTCTACAGTGAGATGAGGGGCCGCCCGCTGCGCTGAAGATGCGGCATGAGGGGCTTTGTGCTGGGAAGCAGAGAAACTGTCATGTCCGCTTCTATTCTCTTCTTCCTCTGTGAATTCAGAAAGTGCCAGCAGGCCTAATGTGAAGCTTTGTGGGAGAGCTTCATGAGATTTAAACAGAAGAAAGTCAACAAATTTGAAACGACATGAGGGGGTGAGTAAATGATGATTGATTTTTTTTTGGGTGGGGGGGGGGGGTGCTTGGGTGAACTATCCCTTTAATTAAACATGAGGCTTACTGTTCAGTTTTGGTAAAAAAACAAACAAACATGTAACTGTAGAGAAAATGCAGTCACTGTTCCTTTCCAGGACTTCACTCTCCAGTCCAGTAGGTGGCAGAAATCATCACATCATACAAATTTACATGTATTAGATATATGAAAGTTATATTATACGTTATTATTACTTATTGTGTATATGTAGCCTACATTTATATATAGTTTAGTCATGAAACTCTAGAGGGCGCAGGCTGATTGGTCCTTTACATGAAATATGTATGCAATCACATCATTGCAGCATGGCACAAGCTGATTGACATCTGCTGATCCTGCAGCCAATGAGATTGCTTGCTCAACATTTAAATAGTCTGGTTCATTATTTATTGTAAGCTAGTCCTCTAGCGCTCTATCTAAGTTCCTCTGAAACCCTCCACCTCCCCCAGCTCCACCGGTCTAGATCTGCTACAGGATTTGTGTATGTGTATTTATGGAACTTGAGTCTGCACAGTAGTATTTCCGGACCAGACATGTGCAGTAGTGAGCATGAAGTAAAGCCGTGAAATCAAGGCCCCGCCCTTTCTCATGCAGAATCAATCGCTAGAACACGCTCCTGTAATTAAAAAAAAATTAATAATAGAAATGTAGATATTAAATTTAAAGCTCCAATCTCCTCAGTCCTCCGAAGATCCCGAAAAAAAGTCGTTTGTTGGCGTTTCAGTCACTTCTTCACTCAGAGAACCTGTCAATCACAGCTGTCAATCAAAGTAGCCAGGCTCCTGATTGGTTAACGCGGTGCGAATTGACGCCAAAGTTCAGATTTTTCAACTTGGGTGGCAGGCGCGAATTCGCGTAAATGCACAAATAGCACTAATGCGTCAGAGGCTCTTTTCGCGGCATTCACGCGAACGACATGTATTCGCGGCTACCGCACCGTGTTCTACGCCTCATTCGTGCCGCAGGAATTTTGTACACGAGTAACGCGTCTTTGCATTGACTTAACATTGAAATCACTCGCAACTGACACGCTTTTCACGTCCGGTGTGAACTCACCATTAGAGTGCCGAAGTTATGACGTCACTTTGTAGGCCAAACGCGGACGTGAGTTAGCATTTTAGAACTTCTGGTTCCCTCGCCCTAAAGTCTGTGGGTTTTTTTAATTGGATTTTGCTTAATCGCCTGAAATAACGTCTGTGGTTGACAAAACCTCTAAATATTTTCACGTTCTAATCTATGACATAAAATAAACCAGTTATAACCTGCTTGTGCTTTATTGTAAACTTTATTGTGTCTGCTTGTGTTTTTTTAGTTATCTTGATTGACAAAACGTGTAAGGATCACAACTCTTTGTTGAACACATCTTATTTTTTGCGATTTTCCAAAAGTCTATTGGGAAAATGCATAGCTTTTCGATCAAGGGAACCCATGTGCCGCTAACTTCCGAGTTGTCCTACAAAGTGAAGTCAGCTTCTGCACTCTATTGCGTTTTTGTCCTTTTTGGAGCTTGGCAGACACAGTATCCAAGGCTGCTTTAAAGTGAATGTGTGTATATTCTCATCCACGGCAGAGTTTGAGAGAGCAACACAAAGCTGGAGAATGATAAAGAGAGAAAGCAAAAAACCCTCTATTAGAAGCAGCGCTCAGAGCGTGAGCTTCAGGGTGGAGGGGTAGATGAGAGAGGAAGAAAAAGTGCCGTTAACGACAGATAAAGACGCCGTCACAGAGTGATGTGAGACTCAGGGCAATGAAGACCAGATAAAAAGAACAACAGAATTAGAGCCCCCCCTCCCCGTCCCCCCTCCTCAGTTTTTCAGAATCGGCAGCGCTGCCTCGCTTTGAAAACACACACATTATGAAACATCACACATGATTAGCAAGCTCTTCTTTTGACTTTGACAACTGAGTGCCTGACTGCTTGTCAGGAAAGGGAATTCTGAGGAGATTCTTCCTGTCCTTTCTCTCCCTTTTTCTTTCCTCGCCGTCTCCGACTTTGATGAGTTATCACGCATGTCAGAGACAGCTCTCGGTGGTTTGCCGCGTTTGTCATAGCTTGAATAAATAAACACTTGAGTTGTGGCGTGTGACTGTTTTGGAGTTACACATTTTTTTTTGTATGTTAAAAAAATTACAGTACATTTTTTTTAAAGCCATGGTGCAGTGTGTTCTATGTTGAGCTTTTGTGCTCATGTAGGTTTTGCAGGTTTGAGTTTGGCTTGCAACATGTGTGTTTCATAACCATGTTGATATACAATGAAAATATAATATAGTGCCAAAAGGTTAAATCACCAAGCAAAAGACATTGACTTGAATTTTAGTTCTCAAAGAGAAAATTGAAGACACAAGGTGTGTTTGTTTTCCTCTGTGACCCATTATCTTTTAGTCAGGAGTGGTGTGTGATGAGGCATCAGGTCAGGCGAAAAGTGTGTGTTTGTGGGTGTTCGAAGACTGCACACAAACTTCACTCTGCTAATTGACTCGGTGTCAGTGTGTGGTCAGGGCAGGGTCACCCTCCACTTCACTCTCATTCACAATTCACAAAGGCTCAGGGGGACTCGCACCAGCCGTGCTATTCTCAGTTAAAACACCGACAGGTTTAAAGGCGCACACACACACGCGCACAGTTGGCCTGCCAAATGTTAGATTTTCACAATATGCCTTCAATAAATGATCATTGAATACTGTAGTAATGGCTGCTTATCACAGTAAGCTTTGCCATCTCAGGAATAAATTACATTGTCAAATATATTAAGATATAAATAAAAAGTAATTTGAATCATGTTTTAAGGTGCTTTTCAAACAAAAGAAGCCTTTTTGAGGATGAGAGACATCTTTTACTCGAATACTTAAATGGTATCATGTATATTTAGCAATATTTATGAAGTCGGTTTTTGTCGTTTTTTGAAATGCAAAGACGTAAAATGGTTTATTTCATACTCTCTTGTCATGAGTAGCAGTTTTATTCTTCAAATAACCACATGAAACTTTGCCAACTTGTTAATACCGGTCAATTTTTAAGTATATTAATATTCCTGAATTGCATCATTCAATGGCATATGTATTGCATCACACATAACGAAACCCTCCATGGGAAAGTTTTAAGCAGAACAATGTTAACAGCACATGAGCTCATCTTCATACCCTATTGGGTTACAGAAGCTCCCTGAAGATACCAGACAGCCCTGAAGATCTGAATACATGATTAATTGAAGAAGTTTGAATTTGAGGAGTTATACAAAACCGGAAGAATTAAATAAATTACAAAGTTCAATCTGAACTTTTAGATGAATGAGCAATGCCCTTTGAATCACTTTTTGATTTGCAGTCAACTTGAATATTGATGTCTGCAGCATTTGACCTCATCAGTCTTCAGAGAGAGACTCCGACTTCAGACATTTGATGCATAAGTAACAGGACGGGCCACGGGTGGAATTCAAACCATTGCCTTCCCTGTAATGAACCTGCAGTCTTTTAAGGTGAAACACCTTTTTGCTCGTAGCTAAATAGCATTACGTTGAAGCTAGCGGCCCTGTGGCTAAATAAACCCGCTATCCTGAATCCATCATAAGAGCTTAAATGTGCTTAAATGTGCTCGCTGTGGATTCCAGACTAGTGACGATGATTTGCTGCCTCGGGGCTCAATGAATTAAAAGACAGTGGTTTAGTCCAAAAGCTAACGTTGCTAGCAACTCTCAAGTGGCTAAATTGTACAGTAAAAGGGGCTTCAAAACATCTCAAGTTTTGTGTGCTGTGTGTGTTTGATATTACTTGTTCATATCCCACTTTTGGACAAGAATTTTATTTTAACCCTCAGTAGGCTAGCATGCGTTGTTGTAATAATGGACTATTTTTACAATGAGATTTTTATTTATTGATTAAGTGCGTAAAATAGCCTTGGAAAACCTTGGCTAACGTCTGAAAGCTAAAAATGAACCCCCCAAAAAGTATACAGTATATTTGTAGTACAGCCAGTATTGTTTTTAAGACAAGTAACTCCTTTTCTTGCTTTCCCCTTCAAATTTATACCAACTAAGTTGTCTTACTGCATTTATTTGATCTAAAATACACTAAAAACAGTAATATTACTGTATGAAATATCATTACAGTCTTTAGTGTCACATCATGATGATCCTTCAGATATCATTCTTATATGTTTTGCTGCCCAAGAAACATTTATTATTATGATCAATGTTGAAAACGGTTGTGTTGCTTCATATTTGTATGAAAACATGCATTTTTTGAGATTCTCAGATGAACAAAAAATTAGAAGAGCTGCATTTTTTTTGAAATAGACTTTAAAAAGAAATCTATACAATCACCTTTGATCAGTTCACTAAAAAGTATTAATTTTTCAACGTTTCCAACATTTTGAACAGCAGTGTAGCTGTTCGTGTTTCGTCCAAAATTGTGTTATTTGTGCACAAATAATATTATACAATTACAGTATATTCATATGACCAGCAAGTAACCCTTTACTAACCTTTTAAGAAAGATGCACCCCCCAAAAATGGTTGTATTATAAGTGCACAATAATGCCTTCGATCAAATTTTATTTTCCTACCATTTTAATTCCAGCAATGCAGTTTATCAATTTGTAAAGAAGTTAAGGGAACTGCTATAGGGCTAATATATTTGTTTTGTTCGGTCAGTGAGAAAGAATGTAGCAGCCAATCGATATTACTATAGGTGTTTGGTTATGACTATTGGAGAAAAACATGATGTCATCTAATCAGCATTTGTAAGCCTTAATGTGGTTAATAAGGTTAATGTGTTTCTACTCCCTTTTGTGGATATTTATTGCAATTTCTCGACTGATTTAATTGACAAATGTTCAGATTCTTCAGGCTTTAAATGTTAATGTGCAAAAAACAAAATGGCAAAAATTACGTGTGCATGCAGTCTCTCATCTGGAGGTGTTTCATTTGATGACTTCACGTCATTA